TCTGTTAACCAATGCCAGTCTATATTTCCAAACCAGTTTTTTTGATTATACACAGGAATATTGTGTCAACAGTGAATCTTGCTTGTCCTCTGGATCTCAAATCCATTGCACTTCAAGCTCGAAAATGCTGAATACAACCCAAAGGTACTTTAACTACTGAAGTTATTTACACTGTATAGATAGAACTGTTTTAAAAGACAAAACATTATCTAGCTTTCAGTTCCTGTAAATTCTGTCATTTTTTTTACTCTGTTGACTTGATAATCTTATGTTTGGGTGAACAATTTCTTTATGATATACTGTTCCAGGTATTTTCACTATCATAACTCCAATTTTTTTCTTATGTATAGCGTTTGCTGCAGTTATAATGAGGATCGTGAACCAAGAACTACCGCTCTCATTTTCAGCTCTGGAAAATGGTCTGCACTGGAGCCAAGAGGTATTATATATATATTCAAAACTCCTAACTATAATGCATTAGGGTAGTAGGCTGTAAAACAGACAAACTTAGCTCAGAAATGTCTTACATGTGTCTTTTACCCTATATTTCCCTTTTCCTTTGTTTATCTTCCAAGCAGTGAGGAGCAATCTCGCCTTGCTGCACGGAAATAATGCTCGGGTGGTACAGAAAACTTGGTTTCCCTGCCAAATTCCTTGACTTCAAAATCCAAAACATGGTTGGAAGTTGTGATGTCTGCTTTCCTATACGCTTAGAAGGCCTGGTCCTCACTCACCAGCAGTTCAGCAGGTCTGGACTGGCGTCTGTCGAATCATAAATTAGTTTGATGGCTACTAGCCCACAATATTATATGACTTGACTACATCGTAACATCTGTCTTTAACCAGTCGACCATTTTCCCCCTACAGCTATGAGCCGGAGTTGTTTCCTGGTTTGATATATCGCATGGTGAAGCCACGTATTGTGCTGCTGATTTTTGTATCTGGGAAAGTTGTGCTCACAGGTAATTCTCTAGCATAATCTAACTGAGTGCATTCTTAAAAACATATTCAGCAGCCATGCATTGTAAATCTATTTATGTTATTATGATTTCAGGTGCAAAAGAGCGGGCAGAGATCTATGAAGCCTTTGAAAATATTTACCCCATCCTGAAAGGGTTCAGGAAGCAGTAGAAGCACTGCACTTAATGTGAATATAATGATGTGCTTCGTATGTGTTAGTGGTACTTCAAAGGTTTGAATGCAATAATTGAATCTCACTTTTGTTATTGCACTTTGTTTATTGTCTTTATGTTTACTTTGTAATGTCTGCATTAGTGAGGGTTGCTGAGATAACAGAGCATCCTAAAAGTGTACTGTAAAGAGTAAATGATTCGTTAAAATATTCAGCTTTACCCTATGTGGACTCTCGAATGGAGACAGAAAGTATCCTCTTCAGTTATGACTATGTTTTGTCCCTCTTGTACATGTTGAACTGCTTCTTGCTGATGCAGGTAAATAAATTTGAACACTTCTCTTTTGGATACTATTCATGTGTGTGATTATTTGTGTTTTTGAAAGTTTCTAATGCTCACCAGTCACCACAAGGCTTTTGTTTGATTAAAATACTTTAAAAAAGATTAATATTTTGAAATATGATTACAATTTTGAATAACTCTTTTCTATTTGAATATTTCAAAAATAAAATGTGTTCCTGTGATGACAAAGCTGGATTTTCAGCACCATTACTCCAGTCTTCAATGTCACATGAGCCTTGAGAAATCATTCTTATGTCCTGCTTTGGTGCTCAATAAAAAGAAAAAAAAAACATAGATTCAAGTATGTTTATTATTATTATCATGGTAAATGTTTATTATTATTATGGTAAAGGAACCCCACTACCACACAGCACACACGTGACAGCACATACACAAACATACGTCAGATGGTACGTAGGGCAGACAGCCATCACACACAGCTAGTAGTTATAGAGACATTAGGACCAGAGTTTTATTTTAGTATTTTCAACCACGAATCATGTAAATCTCAGAGTGAACGTTTCTAATTGGCTTTTATTATCCATAGTGCCTCTATCATCATGGCTTGTACCTTATCAGGCGAACCCCGGTCTTCGGGGCCCGGTGAAGAGCATCCAGAGTCTGGGTATGAGGCCCGGGCGCCCTCACGACCCCATCCGCCTGTGCAGCACCTTCAGCCGGCGTGCGCTGGCGCTGGCGCCGCGGTCATGGTCGAGGCGCTGGATGATGCAGAGGGGCTGTTTGTTGCCGTGGAGAGATGTCCGCTTTGCAACACCGCCAGACGCAGACTGACCTGCGCCCGGTGCATTCAGAACGGGGATTTCGTATATTTTGATGGAAGAAATCCGGAGAGGTGTGTTTTATTTTTTTTTTAATTTTAATTATTTACGATGTATGCTAATACAGTTTAGCATGCTAGCATATATCAGTATTATCCCTTTCGCATCGTTTTATTTTATTTAAGCTCACGTTGCCCCTTGATTTAAAAGTGTTTTCGGGGTTTTATGAGTTCTGTAAAGAAACCTGGCTGTAATAGTATTTAGCTAATTCAATCATGGGCCAAGAATGCTAACATGCTAACTGCTAATAATGTAAACAAACGGTCAGACAAACAAAGAGGTACAGGTTTCAGCTGTCTCTTTCATTTCTTGTCAGATGTCAGTGGCGTGGCAATTGAAATATGTTTTAAATCCATAATTAAAAGTGTTGTCATGGCTTATTTAAGTTTTGTAAAGGAACTTTTTGGCAATATTTGACATGTCAAATGTGTTGACCAAGGTTTAGCTGAGTCATGTTGACACCAAATGTGACAGTATCCTTATTAACTTTGACGTTTTTGTTTGTATGTGTGTGTGTATATATATATATATATATACTTGCTTGTTGTGGGATATTCTCACTGTATTTTCTCTCTCTCTCTTTTTTTTGTATTTCGGCATGAAAAGGTATTCAGAAAAGCTTGAAAGACTCCAGAAGCTGAAGAATGAAAAGGAGAATCTTCAACAGAGGTATGATATCAACACGTGGTGCACAATCCAACATTTTGCACTGTTATTACTCAAGTCTGAATTTTCCTTTTGTTTCAGTGTCATCAGAGCCATGGACAAGAAAGTTGAGGCAGACCAGCTTGTAAGTATTTTTGTTCATGTTTTAAGTGCTTCAATTTTAAGTTAAAAGATGATAAAAGATATAAATCTGTGTTTAAGCTATTTCTCAGCATCATGCCTGTGTGTTTTGTTTAACACAGAAGTGGAAAATCATGTCATGCAGGATGAAGATCCAACAACTCAAAGAAGCCATCTGCACTAGCAATGAAGAAGTCAAGAGTGGTGTGTATCACAATAAAAATGATTCCATGACAAAAGTGTGTAAACATGCATAAATCACATTGAGCTGTGGTACTCATACAGTTGTGGTCAGGATTTTTGGCACCCCTGGTTAATGTGATCAAATACGGTTGTAAAATAAATCTGCATTGTTTATCCTTTTGAATTTTTTTTAATCTAAAAATTTGCAAAAATCATTCTTTTCATTAAAGGAGAAAAAATGAAAGTGAGGGGTAAATCACATTATGAAATAAATGTTTTTCTCCAAAACACGTTGGCCATAATTATTGGCACCCTTTTATTCAATACTTTTTTTCAATCGACCTGGCAAAAAAAAACACAGGTCCCTTTTGAAGTTCCAGTCGTGCCTGACAATGAAATATACTGGAGTTTGTTTTTGGATGAGTGAGTAGGATTTTTCATGAAACCCTCCAAACAGTTTGAGATGATGTAGGGGTTGTTTGAAATGCTTTTTTTAAAGGCTTTTTGACCCCAATACTCATCTAATGTCTGCAGTTCTCCATCTGTGATCTTCGGAGAGTCTTTGGCCACTCGAACTCTCCTCTTCGTTGTGCATTAGGACGATAATGACACCCGTCCTCTTCCAGGCAGATTCATAACATCTTTAGTTTGATTGGAACTTCTTGATTATTGCCCTGATGGTCCAAATGGGCATTCTTTAGCTATTTTCTTACAGCCACTTTCTATTTTGTTACACTCTGCTGTCTTTTGGTTCACATCACTATATCAACTATATTCTTTGGTTTTACACATTGTGATGGATGATTAAGGGAATTTGGCCTTTGTGTTTCCTCATATTTACTGTATATTGTCATGGATGGACAATGTCATGTTCTTAGTCACCCTTGTGTGCTAAAAAATGTTAATATTAATGGGAATATACTTCAGAGATATTTTACTCTTAAAAAATTCGAGGGGTGCCAGTAATTGTGTCCATGTCCATGTCCACCTCCCCACACACACTTTAAATTAGTTTACTTCAAAGAAAGGTTAGATTTTTGCAGTTTTTTTGAATGAAAGATCAACAGGACAGTGCAGATTTATTTTTAAGCCATATTTACCAGGGGTGCCATTAATTCTGGCCACAGCTGTATGTAAGTTCTCTCTAGTCCTTTAAGTAGAAAAAGGCGGAATAATAAAATAGCAGTCTGTTGTTTGACGTCATTACTGTTGCTTTTTCTTTTAGGCAAGGAGCTGTTGTTGCGTTCCCAGGAGGAAGGTCAGCGGCTGCAGCGCAGGGCCAGCCGACATCAGGAAAAGAGGGACAAAATTAAGCGGCACAACCAACGTCTGGGCGAGCTCCTAGAGAAGAGATCCAAAGAGCTGCAGGGGAGGCTGGGTGCCCTGGCTGAGGTGCGGAGAGAGCACATCCTGGAGCTCACCACTCACATCTTCAACATCCAGGAGGAGAAGCATGGCAGCAGGTCAGAGCAGATGAGCAGAAATAGACTCTAATCATCATCAAAATATATGTGGATGAATATTTTAGCCTAGCTTGTTGCAAATGCAGTCTGGAATGGTCAATACTACTGTAGATTTTGGTCAAAACAGGTAAACTAGGAGTACTTGCTAGCGAGCGATATGCTCCATAGTCATATCGTCCTATCGTCAGCCTGTGAGATCGCCGATACACAATGTTATCACGTGCGGAGTTTAGGGGGTGCAATAGTTTACTTTTTGGATCATTCATTTTCTTATTTACTTGTTTATTTACTCATTTATTTACATTCTTTGTTTTATTGTCCTGGGAAATGAGAATTTCCCAATGCAATTTGTAAACTTTGCATGACATTTATGCTGGTGAAGGAGTCTCTAACCACAGTCAATTATTACCTGAAAGTGAAAGCAAAAACTGATGGAGCTTTTGGCATCTAACCCTGTATTAACAGCGTATTAATTCATGACGAGAACTGAATCTATACATATATATAAATTTTTTTTTTTTTTTAAGGAATTAGTACTTTTTATTAGGGCTGTGCAAAGATTAATTGCGATTTAATCGCATCCAAAATAAAAGTTTGTGTTTACATAATATATTTGTGTGTACTGTGTATAATTATTTTGTATATATAAATACACACACATGCATGAATATATTTAATAAAATGTGTTATTCATATATAAAATATTTATTTTATATTTATGTATAATATAGATTATAATATATAATTATATATATATATACACAGTATTTATGTGCAAATAATTCGTAAATATATATATATCCATGCATATGTATTTATATATACAAAACAAATTATACACACAGCACACGCACATATGTTATGTAAACACAAACTTTTATTTTGGATGCGATTAATCGCAATTAATCTTTGCACAGCCCTACTTTTTTATAAATTAATACTTTTATTCAGCAAGAATGCATTCAATTTTCAAAAGATCAAAAGTGACCTTAAAGATATTCGCATAGTTACAAAATATTCTGTTTTATATATCAGCATATTGGAATGATTTCTGAAGGCTCATGTGACACTGAAGACTGGAGTTTCTGACTCGGAAATGTATTAAAATAGTAAACGGTTCTTTTAAATTGTAATTTTTCACAATCTAAATAATTTACTACAGTTTTGATCAAATAAATGCAGTCTTGGTGAGCACAAGATACATCTTTCAAAAACATTAACACAATATTACTGACCATAAACTTTTAAACCATATTGCATATTTCTTTCCTCCAGATATACCCACCATAACCTCAAAAAAAACATACTGACTTCTCGCTTATGAATGTGTCCTTTGAGGTGGACACAATTTTTCACTCGGTTGCTCCAGGGTCACTGTAATTGGCTTACTATCACCTGGCATTGATACATGATCATGAACTAAACTTGTTAGGCCAGTTTTTGAATGCATCATCATCTCAAGTATTTGTATCCTTCAGGGACCCAGCGGATCCAGCCGTGGCTGAGTATGACCTTGCTCTGACCTCCAGCACCGTCAGTGAACTCGCAGAGGCGAGGCGAACCACCTATCATTCAGGCCGCTGGATCTGGGACGATCAGAACGGAGAGACAAGCATCAGTATCACTGGGCCACATGTCACACTTCCCAGTAATGGAGACTGCTCAGCCTATTACAGCTGGGTGGAGGAGAAGAGTGGAAACCAGGGGCCAGGTACAGAATTCACAGATCATCACTGTCTCATCTCTGTTTCTCAAACACGTTTAAAGACATTTTAACAGTCAACCCTAATAGTCCAGGCAAAGTAGCGTTTTACGACAGACTAATTGTAAAAGAATTTTTTTCAGCATTGATCATTTCTATGAGGTGTCCAGAACAACATACTAAAAGTCCTAAGAAATCCTAGTTGAGGAAATATGTTTAATTCGCATCAATCCGAGATGTTTGCCCGTAAGGCCAGACAACAATACACCCCAATGGGGCTATTTTTTTCCTTTACTCCTATCAAAATAAAACTTTATACAATGAAAGTACCCATGAAAAGTAACAAATTTTGTATTACAAGTTTCTTTGAAAATGAATTTTATTATGCAAATGAGCTATACACTAATCGAATATGCCCAAAATACACCAATAGGCTTAATTTTTTTCCTTACTCCTACCACAATAAAACTTTACACAAAGAAAGTCTACAAGAAAAGTAAAACATTTTGTATTAGAAGTTTCTTTGAAAATTAATTTGAATATGCACATGAGCTCTACACTTATTGAATATGTCATAATTTGCATAGGCAGAAACACCCTTCATATGTATGACAAATCGGCCCAATCTTCATCCAATCATCCTACTGCCAATGGGTGATGGCAATGCTGCTTTTAGACTGGCCTCTAACCTGAAAACTGCCTGGCTTGGTACCTGTCAGGGGTATAACCCCCGCCGGTATAGTCTTCAGGGTCACAGAGGGACACAAGCCTCAGGGGAGGGTTGGGTGTTTTTTAATTTTTGTTTTCTCTCATTTTATTTTATCCTCGACCCCTTCTCTGTGGCTCTTGGTTCTGGCATACCCAAATCAGTTCCCGGTTTGTTCTTTGCTTAGTTCTTCCCCTCATATTCATCAGATAAATCAGGCAACTGTGAGTTTGTGCAGCTAGTACCACGACATTCCCTGCAAATGGCAGTGCAAGGGAGTCCATGTTTTTTGCATGTTCTTCTCTTTGTGCCACAGTCTTTCTTGCAACTACAGTGGACTACATCTAGAATTTCTGGTGGTGCCGCAGGCTGATCGGTCATTATTGGCAAAACTCCCCCATCCAAAACATGCCACCCCCCGTCTTTTGGGTCCGTACGTTCACTTCCCCCTTTCCACACCATCATTTGTTTAAAGACCCGAAGACTGGAACTTTGCAGATGTTGACGTTGGAGGGAGAGTTTGAGGTTCCTCTAGAGATGAGTTTGGGGTGACTTTTCAGTCACTATTCAGAATATAGGTGGGGCCATGGGTCGGCACATTCCCGGGATGGGCCGGCTGCGTCTCCATCCATTGTTTTGTCCATGGTTTGGTCTCTTATCTAAATCTGACCATGGAGTTGACTTTGGCGGAAAGCTGAAGGTAATTGCTGATATCAGACCACGTCTCATTGAGAATGAAACATTGTCTAGAAACCACATGTTCATTTTCTCGTGTTTGAGGGGTGGTTTATGAATGCCCGGAGCCGTATTATTGGGTGCTACGAATGTCTATCAAATGCATCTGTACGTAGCTCATAGCCAATCGGTTCAATGATACCAGATGACGTATGTAGAGCGGCAGAAAATTAGACGAGGAAAAAGACGATGGGTCAGAGATTTAGGAGATTTAAAGTAAAACTTCAAATAATAGCGAGTCCCAAATAGTCTGTCTCTTTTACACGCCTAGTGTGGCTGCAGGTTTGGGTAAATAAAAGCCGGTCTCAAATAGAGGCCAGGTCTGTTTTTTAGTTTCGGGTTGTTAATCTTCTAAAACCGTCAGATCGTCCGCTTTTTGGCGTCTGCCAAAGCAAATTTTTGTCCCGCCAAAGCCTATTTTGATCGGTGAGTGATGTAGAATAGAAACTGCTGCACTTGATAGGACACATAAGGAGCAGAGAGAGCGCACCGGACACACGCGCGCACTCTCACGTCTTCAAACAACACGAGCGCTGTCTTGCTCTCTCTCCTTCGCGCATAATCAAATCAATTGACACGATACTAAAAGGTTGGAAGATCGCAGTTTCAGGTGGAGCATTTGGAGATTTTTAGAGATTATAGACTCATTGAACAACATCTCAACACTAAATTATAAAGGCCGGTTCCATATAGACGCCTGTCTCAAATACAAGCCGGTGCAGTTCGATGATTTGGGAAAATAAGAGCCCAGGCTATTATTTTAAGTTTTACAGTATGTATGTATACACAAAGACTGTATCAAAAGGTAACTTCGCGTCCACTGCCAAGATGGATCCATAGAGATACACAAACTGCTGCGGTGTTGCATAGACATCGTCATCGTCTTGCCGCTCCCTCCCCGTTCTGTGATTGGTTCCGTAGCTCAGGCGGAAATTTGGTTCATGGTGTCCAGGCTGCCTAGCAGCATGAATAAAATCGCGCTGTGGCAAGACAGCATGGGGAAACCCAGCCTAGGCGCTTGCACAATCCAATCACGTTTGAGAGGGAAACAACAAATTGAGGGTTTCCGAGATTTTTCTTATTTTCATTTTTTTTTTTAGAAGTAGTAATGAGTGCTCACGGTTATGGGTAGAAATGTTGTGGAGTAAATAGTACAATATTTCCCTCTCAATTGTACTTGAGTAAAGTCAAGAGTACTCCCCAAAAATGATCCTCGAGTAAAGTACAGATCCCTCAAAATTGTACTTAAGTACTGTACTAAAGTAAATGTACTCTGATACTGTCCGGCTCTGCTAACTACATACATTTTTGTTTTACAAGATAACTTGTAAAACAAAAAGGTTACTTTTCATGTATACTTTCACTGTCATTGTTCTGTGAGGTTAAATTGTGAGTTTTATAGGAGTAAAGGGAAAAAAATAAGCCCATTAGGGTGTATTTTGGGCATATTCGATTAGTAAATTGCTCATTTGCATATTCAAATTCATTTTCAAAGAAACTTCTAATACAAAATGTTTCACTTTTCTTGTAGACTTTCTTTGTGTAAAGTTTTATTGTGGTAGGAGTAAGGAAAAAATTAAGCCTATTTGGGTGTATTTTGGGCATATTCGATTAGTGTATAGCTCATTTGCATAATAAAATTCATTTTCAAAGAAACTTGTAATACAAAATTTGTTACTTTTCATGGGTACTTTCATTGTATAAAGTTTTATTTTGATAGGAGTAAAGGAAAAAAATAGCCCCATTGGAGTGTATTGTTGTCTGGCCTTACTGGCACACATCTCGGATTGATGCGAATTAAACATATTTCCTCAACTAGGATTTCTTAGGACTTTTAGTATGTTGTTCTGGACACCTCATAGAAATGATCTATGCTCAAAAAAATTCTTTTACAATTAGTTCTATTTTTGGCTCCAAAATGGGCTATTTTGCCTGGACTATAACCCAATACTCCATTAAACAGTTTTCATCCAAAGCAAACTTTAAAATATAGGTTTTTAAATCGCACATTTAAAGGGGTCATGAAGTGGCTTTTTAAATTTTGAGATCAACTTATAATGATCGCTTGGTTTTTGCATTCAAAAACATCAAAATGAATAAGTAATAGGCTATTTTCTACCCTAGTTTTGAGCCTAGCTCCAAAATACTCGGTTTTTATGGGCGTCTCGCACTGGAGACTTGTGAGTGGATAACAGTTTTGCATATTATAATGAGTTTCAACTCGTTGGTGCACGTCTTTAGCTATGCGTATAATGCGCGAATCAGTGGGCGGGGCTAAACCGGGCGTGTTGAAGTAGGCGTTGATCTTCTTCTGTGAGGACGGTGTTTTTTATCCTCTTTGACGTCATAGTTCCCCACTTTGAAAAAGAGTCGTTTGCTGAGGCTGGTGTCAATAAAAGCTTTTATTGGACTAAGAAGGACGTTTTCAGGTCTGAAACTTACAGGATATTCTTATAATAATGACGATGACCTCTTAGATGTCAAAAGCTCAAGGAAAATTTGATTTCTCAGTTCATTGTGATAATTATATTTCATTATACAAAAACAGAAAAAGAGTTTATGTTAAAGAAGAGTACAGTATGGATTTGATTTCTAAAACTGTAAACAGCTAAACATTTAATTAATCTCATAAGTCAACACACTATCTTTGGCATGCTTATTTGTGACATTATAGAAGTCATTTTATGAAAGGAAAAATGTCTGATTTATTTAACATGTTGTGTTGAAATCATTATTTTGGTAACACTTTACAGTAAGGTCTCATTTATTTTTAAATATGAACTAACTATGAGCAACATATATTTTTTGCAGCGTTTATTAATCTTTGTTAATGTTACTTAATAAAACATTTCATATTCATGGTATTTCACAGTATTTAAAAAATAAAAAAATATATTGATAAACTTTGAGATTAACATTAGCTAAGATTGATAAATGCTTTAAAAGTATGATGTTAACTCATGCTAACTGACGTTAACTAATGTTAACAAATGAAACTTTATTGTAAAGTGTTATCTTTTTTTGTTTAGAGTTGGACCACATCAACCCGGCGCACACCATCAGTGCCGCCCTCTGTTATGCCACACAGCTCGTCAATATCCTGTCTCATATTCTGGATGTCAACCTTCCAAAAAAGTTGTGCAACAGGTTACAGACGCATGTTTACTGTCAAACCTTCAGTTAAAAACATCATAGCATCTGTATTTTTATTGCAAAAATGTGACACAAAAATCTGCAGTATTTAAGTTTCATTTTTAAGGTTGTTCAGCTCAGGGACGTCTGATGAGTCCTGTATTCTGTTTCGTTTTCTCTGCAGTGAGTTCTGCGGAGATAATCTGACTCGCTACCGATTCACCCGTGCCGTAAACAAGCTCAACACCAACATCCTGCACCTCTGCTTCTCACAGGTAAAAACTGAGAACACTCGGAGTCTGATCTGAGAAGTCATATTCTGCACATACCTCATGTTTATGCTCTCTTCTCAGCATGTTGACAGCGAGCTGCTTCATCCTCACCACACTTTGAGGAATATCATGTTTCTAGTGTCTCCAGCAAACAAGAACCTTGGCAGGTGAGAAATCACATTGATCTATTTCTTATTTAGCGAGAACAATGTACTTTAGGATTGTATATATGTTATATATCAAATTCTAATAGATAAAATCAGGTCCCACCCTAATTATTTGACATGTGCATAAAAAAACATATGCACTCAATTGAGGTGGATACATGTTTTTATCCGCCAAGACATGCATATAAACTATGACGGAAACACATTTACTGAATAAATCCCTCAGTGCACCACAAAAAACTCACGTGACTTTGCCTCAAACGGAGGATGTGATTGGATAACTACACTAACCAGCTGACCAATCATATAGCACAGCATCTCAAATGAAACGCCTAAGCCAAAGTCATCAAAATGATTGGGTATAATGACCTCCCAGAAGTGTCTCTCATGATTTGCATTCACAAACACCAGGGGCCTCATGTACAAAGACTTAGATAAAGCTGTAAATGTGCGTACGCACAAAAAAACCCAGATGTATGAACGTCTGCGTACGAAGGATCCCACGCATATTCTCTTTGTACATCCCAAATAACGTAAACTTGAGCGCACATGCATGAGCACAACGCCCCACCCAGTCTCCTCCCTCAATTAAATCAATTTAAATATGGTAATTAGTCCAATTTGTCAAAAGAAAACTGCAAGAACATACATTTACTGGCACTTTTAAACAAATTCAATGTGTCCTTGCTGAATAAAAATATTACTTCCTTTTTTTACCTTTACTGACCAAATTAATGAAGTTTATTTTTTATTCGTAAGCCAACGCTGCCATTGCTGGACGGGTTTGCACATGCTTTATGTTCTTACTTAATTGCATAATAGAATATTTTAATAAGACTCATGTGACATAATTTGTAATTGATACATTATTTGACATATTATTAAGCAATATCTGACAGCTGGTGGTGCGATAGAACAATTCGTAGTGTAATGTTTGCCACTTCACTTCATTGCCTCTAGTAGTCGCCAACGGACAAAAATCAAGGCAAATGTACGTAAGCCAGACATGATAGGCCGTGTGTCCACCAAAGTAGACGCTCTGCTGAAGACGCCGTACTTTTGGCGCTTGAGAGCATTTTGGCAGCGCAGCGTTTTTTCCGTTGAGACGTTTCGTTGCTATGATACAGAATATCCGCATTCATGGCGTTTCAAAAACGCGCCGCTCCCATTGAAAACAATTGAAAACATACGCCAGGCGCGTGGAAAAACGCTTTGGTGGACACACGGCCTTAGTAGTAGTACATCATCTGGCTGTGAATATGGAAACTGACGTACGCTGTGTTTTTGTACGTACGCAGTGTTAATGCATAAAGGCGTGTGTCCACCAAAGTGTTTTTAGCCAGCTGAAAACGCTAGACGCTCTGCTGAAGACGGTGTGCTTTGGGCGCTTGAGAGCGTTTTGGCAGCGCAGCGTTTTTTCCATTGAGACGTTTCGTTGCTATGATACAGAATATCCGCAGCAGTTGAATGCTGTGACAGTTGGTCGGTGTGGTATTAGTCCCGCCCCATCTCCACTGTGATTGGACAGCTGGGTAAGAAGTGACAGTGATGAGCGCTGCGTTTTATCCAAAGTTGAACATTTTTCAACTCCCAGCGACCAGTAAAAAACGCTGGGCGCTCGGCGCTTCAGCGTAAAAAAAAACGCTCAGCGCCTCGTTATGCTCATGGCGTTTAAAAAACGCGGCGCTCCCATTGAAAACAATTGAAAACATACGCCAGGCGCGTGGAAAAACGCTTTGGTGGACACACGGCCTAAGGCCCTAGGCATCCAAACATGAGATAACATGACAGCATTTCATTTGTGCCCTTTAAGGTGCAACTCATTTATAATGGAGGAAAAAAAGAGATACAGTTTCTTCCCCGATTGCAGCAACTTCCATTTTTATTACAGAAATTTTTTTGCCAGTTTCCCAGGAAGTGACGATTTTGTTCTCTTGAACACGTGGAATGGAAACGCTACTTTATTTGAAAATTTTTGATGCAGTAAGTTAAATTCGCAACTTTGGGTGGAAAAATAGAGCTACTGAAGACTGGAGGAATGGCTGCTGAAAATTCTGCTTTGCCATCACAGGAATTAAAAAATGAGTAGTACGAATATTAGTGTATATCAGCTTTTCACACTCTTGTTCACTGCACAGAACGGGGCCGTTCGAGGTGAGTGCTGACTTGGAAGACTCAATGGAGTTTGTGGAACCAGAGGAGGCTGGACCAGTGGAGGAGAGCGGAGACGAGGTAGTGACGGATGAAGAAACAGACTTGGGCACAGATTGGGAGACTGTTCCAAGCCCTCGCTTCTGTGACATCCCCTCCCAGCCTATGGATCTTTCCCAGAGCGGCATGCAAGCGTCCCAGCCAGTTGGCAACGCAGGGGGCATGATCTCCTCCGCGGCCGCATCCGTCACGTCCTGGTTTCGCGCCTACACCGGGCAGCGCTGAGATCTGGTGGATGTGGGGGTGGTTAGAACTATGCAAACACCCTATTACTGTCACCCACATTACTTGTCAACTTGCCTGTGGGGGGAAAAAAAGGGAAGTTTTCATCTGGCTGCTCGTACTGAATAAAGTAGAAACCAGAGTGAATCATGTATTCCTCAGAAACAACTTTTTTGTGTGGGTTTCTTGCAGGATGGAAGAGTGTAGTGAACTACTTCTACTTTTTTGATCTTTTGTAGCTCACATTATACTGTAGACACCAGTCAACTTTATTCAGTGTACATTGCCAAATATTTTTGTGAATCGGTGAAAAACTTGTACTTTCAAAGCATCGTTGGACATGGACTTGACTGTGCTTTTAGAGTTTTGAATGATGAACGCACGTTCTCACCAGCTCTTCAAAGAACCTTACCGTATAAATGTTGCTGGACTTGTCTGAGAGTGGCAAATATTATTGGTTTCTTGTTTTATTAGATTATACATTCACAAGAGGAATTGTATTTTATGAATTTATAAGCTTTTTTTGCCCTCTTTACATTTTCTGAAACACTGCAAGCTGCAATGGGCATACATATACAGCATTGGTACTATTCAGTGCTCTTAGGATTTATGTACAGGTTTATTTTTTTTCACCACCTTTAGTTGTTGAAAGAAAAGAAATGCATATTTACTCGGTTTCATTTGAGAAAAAAAAATGTGTTTGTATTAGCAGACACCCTTCATTATTAAATTGAATACCTCTCTGAAATGCAATAGAAATGAAGCATTATTCCAGTATATACAAACTTGAATACATATGATGTATTTGGTCTGGGTACAATTGTATTTACCCTTCTCTGAGGCATGTGAAGCAAAAGACAAAGTGTTTGTCTGAGTGCATTCCAAACTTGGTAGTGGTAACAATTTTAGTGTGATGCTGCAATTCATACCTATATAACAAAAAAAGGTCATTACCATTTTAATTAAAAACATTTGATTTTTATAAACTCAATGTTAATTTACTGCCAGCTTACTGAGATACAAGGCATAATGTTTTTCTCCACGGGAAACCAACAGAAATGTGAAGGCTTTGTTGCCCAGGATCTTTCACTCTAAAACATTGAATAGATTCAAAGTTTGGAAATTAAATCGATGTGCCTTTTCAATAGTTCATGTACTATAAATTCAAATAAATACCCATCAGGAATACCTATTAACCACTCAGTGTTTACACTAATCTAAAAGGAAATGTGTGGCTAACTGGTATACTGTGTAAGGTAGGTTGTTTTCTGTGGATTCAAACAGTGTGAACATACAAAAGCAAAAAAGGAGAGCAGAAAATGGGTTGCAAATTCTTCAGGATATACTTTATTGAAGTAAAATGCCTTAACAGGCAGAGCACAGCAATGTCATTAATAATTTTAAAAAATCTGACACACTTTGGAAAACAGTATACTGCAATTTTCTTTTTTCTTTTTTTCTGACTCTGTTCAGTTAGTTACTGTCAAAATGGAGAAACTCTCTTCCCACATTCAAAAGTTTCCAGTCAAGAAACAATACAACATACATACCAATACTTAAAAATTGAGAAGAATATGCACTACCTGTTCACAGGGGTTAATCAGAAGAGTCCCACTGCAGAACAAGAGTGACCATTTCACATAGATATCTTTATACACAAAGTCATCATAAAAAGTACAAGGCGTTTTACCCCATATTAAGATTAAATGCATTTCGTCACACTCGTGCCATCATTCATCACTGTTATGATATATAGGATTCTGTGCTATGTACAATGTAAACATCTGGGCTCAAAACAATCTCAAAACGTCAATCCCATCAAGTCGTGAAGTCCAACTAATATCCCAGAACTTATAAGAGATGATAACGGAAGATGGGGAAATGCAGCAAATATCAATAACTCAATAACCCTACTGGCCAAGAGTTCATGTTTGCTAGTACACAGGGAGATAAACAGAATGAATTCTCAAAAATTGTTTAATATTGCAAGGCTAGGTCAACATCAGTGCAGGAAGTGATGCCAGGGTGTGTCAAGAAGAACAGAAAAAGAATAGAGGGTGGATTGAGAAAATAAGTTAGTCATTAATGCTTACTCGAAGTTAAAATCATCAAGCAGTACCCAGATAGAACTCTGCAAAATTCAATCTTAAAAGGTTAAAGTGCAGACCAACATTGAAGACCTGAGGAGGGATTTCGACAGGAGAACTGCTGATTGGTTGGCAGAGTAAAAGTACAGAGACCCAGCAATTTCATATTAGTTTCAGCAACCTGGTAGTAAGCACTATACATCGAAAGCGCACATGCTCATTGGCAACCCGCAGGCACAGAAAAACGCATAGCCTATTCAAACTAGTCACTCTCACATGAATTTCTGGCAAACTACGAGTCCTCTTCAGTGTCACTGTTTTTCTTGTAAATTGGCATGTTGATGCTATGAAAAGCAGGGACCCAGCGGTTGTCATGAACTCCCACGTTGCATCCAGGTGAGTCTTTGTGAGATTTGCGACAGCACATCCAGTAGCCTGGGCCATATGGTAGTGCCTGGCAGTAGGGCTTATGATGCCAACGGCAGAGCGAAACATCACCACGGTCATACCGCTTCTTGCACTGCTTGCAGGGATCGTCTTTGTAGCGTGGGTCGCTAACCCAACGAGAGTCTGCTGGCCGTACGCCATAACTCTCAATGATAAATTTAAAGTAATGGCAGGTGCACTTGAGGGCAGCCAGGCTCTCAGTAGGCAACAAGCAGAAGATTTTTACAATGATGTGGTGAGGCAGGAAAGCCATGTACTGCTGAGGCTCCAAAAGTAGCTGAATCTTGAAGCGAGCTTCTAGGAATTCATGAGACACTAGGCGGCGTAATGGAAAAGGCACAGGCTCCTGATTAACTACGCAAGTCTCTACTCCCTTTGTCTCCTCAAAGTTTTGATGATTTTGCTTACCCACAAGTCCATCTCTGCAAGACACTGAAGTGTCCACAGAAGGCTCAAAATCCTCGATGCGACAAGGCTCTTTGTTCTGAGATTTGCTCTTTGATGAGATTTGCTCTTTTAGAGGCTGAGAAGATTTGGCAAAAAACAACATGCCTGGTAGCGGCTCCTCATTGCACTCTGAACTGGCATCCTTTGGCAAGGACTGCAGGCTATTTACCATCTCAACAGCTGTGCTAGTTCCCTGTCTTGCAATACAAGAACTTTCTTCCACCTTGAGGGCGCAGTTATCAAGCCCACACTGCAAGGTCTCGGTCACCTCAAGGGTCTTAGATGGGTAACACAGCTGGTCTAAATCACTCTCCAGTTCTGGTGGGACACTCTCAGCTCTACAGTCCTGAGGGACAGAGGGGGACACTGGCTGAGATGGCAGCAGGTAAGGTTCTGAGCCGGCTAGAAGCACACGCCCCACCTTCCTCTGTAAGCTGTTGCTTCGAGACAGGGTTCCTCCACCTTCCCGGAGGCTTTGTCTGCTCAGGCACTGAGACTCCAACTTGGCCACCATATCCAGAACTCGAACAGACTCGCTTTCCTCCTCCTCCTGCTGCTGTTCTGAAACCTTGGACTGTTGCTCTGCAGGTTGAGGGATGGTTCCAACTTTGGACAAAGTGATGCTGCTGGTGCTTCGTAAGGATGAGGGTTTGGAGCTAACCTGCTGGTCGCTTGCTCTTTGCTCCAAGTATGCCACCATCTCCACCACAGAGAGAATCTTTTCATTCTCTTCTCCTTCCATCCTGACAGCATCCTCTGCAACTTCTTGGCATGGACTGATGTTCTCATTGAGGGCCTCTTGTTGAGACACTATCTGTATTTCAGATTTTGGTAAAGGAGGTTCTACACTTTTTGTTTTTTCCAGGTTTCCAGACCTCCTCCTGCGCTTGGCCACAGACCAGTCACCATCCCAGCAGCCTTTGTTTTTCACAGAGACAGTCCGCAGCTCTGGAGCAATGGCTTCTGTTTCTTGAGGTGTAGAGGTGTTGTCAATGACACTATTGCAAGTATTGCCGCACTTCTGAGCTGCAAAAATGGCAATTTTCTCTTTTGTGTTCCCAGGTTTAATGACAGCCCATATATCCAAAGATCCCTCGGCATCCTCTCCTTGGTAGATCCTAAGTGTTCCATCATTCTCCAAACCAGTTGAAGGTGAGAGCAGAACTAAAGAAGAAGTAAATGTGACAGAGGATGCTCTGCTCTTGCGGGATCCACTAACTCTAGTAGTTGGTGCATTGCTCCCACTGTTGGTGCTACATCGGAGGGTGTTGGTGGAGATGACACTGAGGGGAAACCGGTTGGCTGTACCGTTGCCAGATGAGCCCATGAGGCCACACGACTGGCGAACTCCCCACTCTTTCCTAAACACTCCCTGCTGGTTGACATGGAGGCCTCTTGTTCCATCGTGCACAGATTCCCGATGTATTTCCTTATCTAGTGGTTTGGGGTATGGCTTGAGAAGCATGGTAGTACACCTAAAGAAAAGGGATAAAAAAAGAGAATTTCAAAAATCCACTAAACTGTTCCACTAAAGGGCAAATAAAAGAGAAATGGCAAGAAAGAAATTCTTTTTTTTTAAAAAAAAAAAAAGAGGAGAAAACTACTTGTACTATTTCCAGGATGCACATCCATCTTAAAGAAATATTTCAGTCAAGTAGAACTTAAGCCCATTCATTTAAACTACAAATAGACTTAAAATATGGGCCAAGTTGAAGGGACTGCTACAAATTTTGCAGCTTGACAGTCCATGGTCACTACATGCTTTCTCTTTATGGACAAAAAGCAGCATATTTTGTTAAACATGAGGTAGAATAAAGTGCTAATTTTAATTTTCAGGTTAACAAGTGGTTTCCAATCCTGATCCTGGAGTAACCCAACACCGCACATTTTTTACTTCTCTCTTATTTGGCACACCCATCTGGGGTCTTGGAGTCTTTACTAATGAGCTAATATGTAGAATTGGGTGTGTTTGGTTAGATAAACACCCCCAATATGCAGTGCTGGGGGTCCTCAAAGACAGGGTTGGGAACCACTGAACTATTTCTTTAAGATGCATGTCTCCAGTCAATGAACCAAACTCAATACCAAAAAGTATATATTTTTTAATGTGCATGATTCATAACATTACAACAGTGGATTCTGTTTAAGCACATTAGCTGTAAAATACTAAAATGATTAAAAAAATAAAATCTTGAAATTGATTCTGAAGTCAGTGCAGCGGGTGAGGAATGCGTTTGGGTCTGATGATTCCGTTTGTTGTAAAACGTATGCAAAATGGCAAATAACTCCTCCAGCAGAAGTAGTTTCACAGTGAGCACAAGGGCTAGCTGTTCCCTCTGGCCCTTAGGCTGACATAATAGGAGCAGAGCCACCCAGGTCCAGACACAGCTGGGCTCTAACACAAGTACTCAGCTGACACAGACACAGCTGCCCTACAAACAAGCCTGCAGCACCACCAATAGCAGTATCTATGTGTGGGAGGACTGAACTCTCAAAGACAAGTGCATATAAGGCATTCTTCAACAGCAGATTCAGACCTGATAAAGTGGTACTAGGGATTCTCACGTGACAACATGGGATGGCATTCGGACACTGTGGACAGCCATTTCGGAGCCAAAGTGAGTGTGGGAGGCGGCAGTCTTGCTCAAAAAGGGAGGAGGTATGTGGGTCGCAGCCATTTATTGGATGGCAAACATGGAAAGTGCCATGTCTATTGAGAAGAGAGAATAGCATTTGGTGTGTCCTTGGAAAGCTTGCATAGCCCAGC